TTGACTATAATTATCATTTTTAACTTAACAGGAGCTTAACTTAAAAGTAATAATCAAAGGCATAGGAGAGACTTCAGCAATCGCCAGTGACGTTAAATTCTAACCTCGCTTGAAGCCAAGAAAGACTGCTTGTCTTGGATACTAATGGTATAATAACTGTTGCATTTTTGTTTAAAATTAATAAAGTAAAATTTTACGTAACACGGGGTGTTTATCGGTCTAAAAAATTTTTGTTTGGTAAAGTAAAATCACGAATGAGATAATCTACAAGCAGAATTCTCCGGTCGCTTATAGTTTTCAAGAAAAAATATTTAAAAAGTTATTTTCACTAAAAAAAATTGCCATTATCCGCCATAATAAAAAAAATTAAAAATACAAAGTACTGCTGACGTTCTGAGTGGTTATAAGAAAATAACCGCGCTAAACCTGACATATTATATTATAACTAATCAGCTGTCAAATGTCATTTTTGAATTGCCAAAAGGATGGTTAAACTCTTTGAAGATTGAACTTCTAAGATCATAATGATGATTCTGATCAATTCATATACTTCATTCAGCATTTCTTCTATTGAGAGAAGTAACCGGGGTCCACCTTATTAAAAATTGTCAACGCATCTGCGTGCTCACAGGTGTTATAGCGGTTTTCCCATGGATAGCGGTTTTCACTTAACATCCGGTGAACCGGCTTGCTTGCTTGACAACTTTTCACATAAAAAAGTAGTCACTTTTCGTCATGCACTTTATTGTATTATTCAGTACTAATCACATATTATGGATATAGATGACACCGTACATCTTGCAGGACAAATCTGAAAAACTTGCGTTACATATTGTTCCATACACACTGATCCATAAACTGCTCGAATTGCTCTCTTTTGGAGGATGAAGATTGTTTTTATACCGGCAGTGTTTCCTCACAGTAGAATACCATAAGATATTATATTGTCGAAGTAACTAAAATATAATAAGCGAGCCGTATCTACATCAGTCAGCTGTCTTATTTTTTTAACCGCGAGGGTTGCTTAGCTAAGTCTACTCGCCAGCTTATTAATATGGAGACCCCATTGCAGCTTGGCATCTGTAGTTATGCCAAGGAATTCAGTCGAGTCAACAGGGTCAAGCGCTTCCCCATGTTTTCAATTTGTCAATTTTATACATTTGGTTTTTTTATTGTTCAATACTAAATTGTTAGCACTAAACCAATGCACTATAGTGGATTGAGTTAACATCGTCATAATTTAAGGAATGTCGCTTTACGTTAAAAACTAAAGAAATATCATCAGCAAACAATACGATGTCATGATTACTATTAACGAGATAAGGCAGGTTATTTATAATGATGAGGAAGAGAAATGGCCTAAGAATAGATTCTTGTTGAACCCTCATATTTACCAGACTCCGGGAGATCTCTTGCCATTCACGTAAACTCTGAATTCGATGAATCAGATGCGATGTCAGAAGTTTGAGTGCGGTATACCATAGTGGTGTAGTTTTTTGAACCAAAGTCTCATGCTGTACACAAACAAAAGCTTTGGCTAAGTCTCAGAATATAGCTAAGACATCGTGGGACTTTTTCCAGGCTTCAAAATATTTTTAACAAGCTGGTTACCTGCATCTGGTGTTAAGCGGTCCTATTAAACCCATATTGCTTTTTATGCAGTATACTATGTGAACTAAAATACAGTAACATTTGATTCAATAAAATTTTTCAAAAATTTTACTAAATGTAAAAGAGATAGGTTTAAAAATATGTATGTATTTAGTACAGTTATAATAATGTAATACAATTAGTTAAAAATGGAATATCTGTATTGATATATCGAGTTAATGTATAAATTGTCAATGTTTAGAATACATTGCACTATTCGTGGTTTTTGACCCCATCAAAGCCGAAAACACTGACTGTTATACAGATTACAATGTTACTTAGACTTAAGCGTAAAATAACTTAATAAATTAGAGCGCATCTAAAATGTTTGCAAACGGTTCATATATGGTCTTTGTAAATAATATCAAATATAAAACCGTTTAAAAACTTTTAAGTTAAACGGTTTTATTTTATGTGCACTGAAAACTACAATATTGTATTGTCATCTAAATTAAATGTGTGTACCAAATTTCAGATCAACAGACAACGGGAAGGTGCTTAAATTTCAATTTCTAATTTTGACCCAAATAAACAAATAAATTCCGTACGTGTCGAGCTAAATAAAACCGTTTAATATGAACACGTTTCTGAATTCCTAAATAAGCTCAAGTGGCTACCAAGCCGCCTTCGCAGGATTACTGATCTTCTATCACTCTTAGATTCTGTTCTACTGAATGCAACTAGAATCGGTGTGAGATTCTTTTCAAAGATTTTTTCCAAAAAAAAAAATGCCATTCTATTCCCTAAAAAACAGAACGTGTTGACAATGCGGTAGTCATTCATAAATACCTAATTTTGCGTTAAACTTGTGTGCGTGTTAGTTATGAATGATCGCGCGTAAAATAAATGAGTTGCGTATAAATCACGCACTTTTTGAGATAAGTTCAAATGAATGTTATTAATTACTTACGGGTGATTTAAAATATTTATTATTTTTTATATAACATTTTTTATGTCTAGAATTTAATAAAAAAAATGGATATACTTCGAAAAGCCACCCTGTATACTTAATATAATTTATTTAAATGTTTTATTTATTTGTTTTTGTTTTCATTATTTCCTTTTCCTAGGTTGCCTGGAAGAAATCGCTTTTTAGCGATAAGGCCGCCTATTGAACAGATTTGTATTCCTTGTTGTTGATTATACAATATCAGTTGTAGTGTACAATAAAGTATATTTCATTCATGACATTTTAATAATTAAAGGAGTGCTACTCTTAATTAAATACTCGGCAATTTCAAGGATAATTTTATGTTAACACTCAACCATCTTCTACGATTTAGATTTTTCTTAATTTGAATGACCTAGCGAAAGATCTTTGGTAGGAATCGGGGTTCTTTTGCAATGATTTGTGGTCTATTAAATAGGATGTAATGTAATGTGTTTGTGGACTGGAGACTAGTCTTGTATTTGTATCAGAGTTTGAATTTGAACTAAGGTAGTTTTAAAAGCAAAAATTAGTTTTAATTAATAGTTTAAGCGAATACGTGGTTTTTTTTGTAGTTGTTACCAGTCTTCAATTGTCTTTAATTGAATATAGGAATATCTGGTATGTTGCTTTTGGTATTTCATTCTTTTAACAAATATTAAAAAGATATTAAGAAATTGTAATTAAATATCGATGGAAAGTTATGAGAGCGTATGTGTTTTTAAGCTTTGTTTTACAAGCAAATTACTACGATAGCAATATTTTTTATTTATGGTGCGTTTATGAATCCGTCTTATTTTTGAACTCCGATATGATTTTAGTTTCATTCAATGTTTTATTGATTAAGGTTTTAGTCTTGTTATTTGATATTTCTGTACATGCATGATTACTTTCTACGTATTTTTTTTTAAATAGATGGAATATAAGAACATATAAAAACTACAAGAGAACTATACAGTGATAACATGCGATAGGTATTAAGGTATGTTGTGACGAAACGATCTAAAATAAAAAAAATATTGTTTTATATTTTTGGTATCTTGATTGTTTATTTTTATTAAATACAAAAATGTATGGTAGGGATATTTTTTAAAACGATACTCTCATATAAAATGTCTGTTTCACGAACTTAATATTTAACAGGCGAGGGTAGGTAAAACGAAATGAGAGATGCGGTAGATCTAACTACAACACCTTTATAATACATTCAACAGGAGCAAAGGGAGGTTACAAAGAGAAACTATTATACACATTCCACACATCGATACGGGTTAGGTTAGGACTCACTCAGCCGGGGGCGGCCGTAAAGAAGGGGGCTCTCCCAAGATGGCGGTCAGAGAGAAGTCGACGATGAATAGTCTTCATAAGATGCTGCAATTTTGTAATATTCGCACATTTATACCTATGGCAACGACGTTTAATTGGTTAATTAATATTTCAAGACACTACGTTATTTCTAATTCATATACATATATGCACATTACTGACGAATACAATGTGCTCAACTATGTATGTAACAGTTGTGATGATAAATTATAATTTAGCAATAAACAGCACGGAACGTTATTCAAACAACACAAGATACATACGTATAGTAATATAATAAGCGGGTTAAGCTAGAAATACACTACGCCTACACGTTGGGAGCATTCGTTTGTGCCTCTACTCACGGGCAGATGCCAAACTTATCTCAGCCGCTTCAATCACGGCAGCAAGCATTGATCGATGTTTCGCAATTCACGAAATTGTATTTTACAAAAGCGTGCGCTACACCTTTTTTACTTGAAACATTCCGATAAAACATTAGTAACTGCGAGTTGAATTGTTAAATATACTTGGTTAACATTCGATAAATGTATGTAATAATTTTTAGTTGTAATTTAGTAGTAACAAAGTCCATTGGTTAGAATAACACGTATTATTCTAAACCTACCGTGTTAATTATTTTAAAATTTATTTTTTAAATTGGTATTTATTAAAGAAATGAGGTATCTGTGTTACTGATTTATTTCAATATTATAATATAGGAAAATGTCAAAATCGTTCGTTTTAATATAATAATAGAAAGATTGCAGAATAAAAATCACTCTTGTTTTTTCATAATTTAATTTTCTCTAACATTAGCACTGATATTTGTCTAGATACTTTCTTATACCGTTCTTTTCTAAAATATGGCTGCTGAGCTATATTAAAAAAAGGAAATACTCGGCATGTGCCATTGGACTTTGTTAATGGCTCTATTAATTGTTTTGAAGAAATTTTGGGGTAATTTCAACACGTATGCAACTTTTTTAAATGAAATACCACCCGTTTACCTGAGATACAGTGAAATGAAATGACGAGTGTATTATATATATTCAAACACACACACACACACATATATATATATATATATATATATATATAGGTTTTTATTCATTACCTGAGCTGTCAGTTGCTAGGCGCGGTGGCGTGCCTTCACGGTCGGTTGGTACAACTATTACCACTTCATCGTCGCGCGGTGACTCACCATTACGATTTGACGATGTCCTAAAAGTATTTTTGATTCAACATCTGTGCAAAATTGTGTTTTAAGGTTTGTAATATGATTAGGTATATTAACAAACAGTATATCTACTTTATGAATAAATAATTATATAAATTTAGGAAATAAGAGGTTTCGTGTGTAATAGTGACGTTTTCATACGGAAAATGGCAAATATTGATGGGTCACAAGTTCATATGTTATACACATTTATATAACGTTGTTCAACTAAAAACTCACAAAATATATATGACATGAACGCATGTAGCACTTTTTACGACGCAAAAACCATAAAAAGTGGGTGACTGTGCAATAATTGTGAATTGACTCTAAATTGAGTACATTACACTCGTCTATTACATTAGTAAGCTTAGTCTAGTCAGTACAAAAAACCAGTGTCTAAACGTACATATGTCCTTGTACTGCGGAGCACAAATCAGATAGAAATCACATATGTACGTTTTCTATGAATGTTATATGAACTTGTTCTATTCTGAATCGCAATATCTATAAGTCAGACGAAAAAAAATTTAATGTCATCTGAAAGTGTAGAATAATTAAGACTTTCCGACGATAAAATCAAATTCGTTCTATGTTACCACAGAACGTTATTCTATGCACGGCGTGACTTAAACATACTTTTCTTTTTGTAAATAAATAAATATTATACATATATAAACACCCAGACCCTAGACAAACACTATGTACATTTCACAACATTTTTCTAGTAGTGGGAATCGAATGCACACCCTCGGGCGCAGGAGACAGGTTCAGTATCCACTACGCCAATCGGGCCTTTACTGGTTATTGCATTCATTTGGCTATTTAAATACTTGTTTATCACGGATATCGGTTAGTTTTCATTCAAAAGGTAAGTTAGGTCGCATTTTCACTATCTCATTTTTATATATCGCATTTTCACTCGATGCTCTAGCGTCGCCACGCGCGACGTCCGTGTCGCTTGTGGGGAATGTCGAAAGTTAAGAAATATATCGTTATAACGAAGACTGCGTATTATACTTGACCTTTCCCTTTGTACCAAATTTCCCAAACCCACTACCTTTTTTTACGTTTTAATATCGTCTTTCGAATCATTATCTAAGCAGCACGGAACAATACTACCTCCTCGGGCGGCATACTATTCACCATTTAGCAGTCTACAATGATATTAAGTACAAATAATAGGTAGATAATCCACTAGCGCACCGAAACTGAGGCACTCAAAGTACGCCATTAGATTGCAATTCTATAGACCGCTATCTCTTTCCCTATCATCTGTCACATTCACATATTAATCTCATTTAATGTTAAGCGGAACAATTTTTTAACGCCGCGCAGTATGGACATGCGTCATTTATATTATTATTAAACATCATTGGTAGTGTGTTCAAGACAAATGTCGAGCGAATTTGTCCCACACAGTTGCAAAGACATACCACGTGAATGTTGAGCATTATGTCTCCGCGACATGTACCCCAGTGAAAACGCTGCTTAAGCGTCAGCGTGCAATCAAATTTGAAACTAATAATAATGAACTATTTGAAACTAACAATTCAAGAGATATTGAATATGCTGACTAATAAATCATAAACAGATACTCACTTAACGATTACTTTTTTGCGCATGAACCTCGTGCCTAAATCGGAGTAACCGCGGTTCATAGGGCGCTTTTGGAGCGCAGCTGGCGCCGCAGAGCCGCTTGGCTGTTCGGAAGTGCGAGAAACTGGAGAGTTGGGCTCCGAACACTGCTTGTTAACGATCGCTGGCCTTGCACGCTGCGATGATTCTCCTGGCGCACCGCTCTCTCCGCCACTATTGGTCCCGTTGCCAACTCTTCTCAAGCGCCTATCTTCTTCGTACATCTCTAATAAATGATCTAACTTACTCTCTATGTCATCTACCTGTAAATACACAACGAATTAGCATTATTTTTTATAAGAGTGATATGAGGTATTCAAGAAATTATTTTGATTAATCGGTGAAACAATATCTTTCTTAATATAATGTTGATTTCTAAAATGTATCTTACCTGTCTTTCAATTTTAACTACTCTGGAAGCTAGGCTGATTTTTGATGCATAGACGTCTTTGGCTTTTGAGCCTTGCTTGCCAAGAATTTGATCTAACCTGTGGGTTATTGTTACGTTAATTTAAGCACATGTAATTCGAACTTTATGGATGATACTGTAAACATACATACATAAAAGTAATAATGTCTTATTTATTTTGGTTAATTGCAGTAAAACCATGGGCATTATTTACAGATTTGTAGTTATTATTTCTATGTTGTCTTTCTATTATCCAATAAAGAGAAAAAAAATTAATATATAATTTGTAGTACTCCGCTGTTGCTCAAATATATTGACTTGTCCCGAGTAATGTAATGAGTATCACAGAAGTGCGGTGTAAACTATTTGTGCTTTTGCTTTTCTTATATAATAACAATAGAATCGAATCGAATTTTTAATCGCAATTGAACAAATTTTTTAGGTCTTATATTATTGTTAAACGAAATGTCAAAATCCGGGATAAGATAGTACCGGCACTCATCGCCAATTCCAATCATCGAAGAATCACTTATCGTTGGTTACTGATCAGCTGACTCCTGCCTGTACTCTTGATATTGGCGTGATAATTTTTTAACTGGACTTCATTATATTGGAGAATTGAGATTGGACGGATCCAAAGGTCTTTTTAGGGACCGAGTATATAGGATGAAGCCCACGAGTTTGGAAAAATGTCTGTACATAAAATGTAGTGTAAAAGCTGCACTAATGTCAAGCCAATTTACAATGTGTGTACAAGTAAGAGAAGTGCTACGATTACTTTGAACTAAATGACATAACGACTTGTCAATAATCTTACAATAATCACCGGTTGTAGTTAGGCCAATCAAATAATATATGTACAGAGAGCTAAGCTAAAATGGTTATTGATACGGGCTTTCAGGTCTGGCAACTCCGGGCTCTACGTGGAACGCGGGGTCTCTTAAGCCTCTATGTGTGGCGATCAAGGGATATACCATGCGCCAAATATAACGAATATCTTGAAATGCGAATCAAACGGGCGTTGAACCCTAGCTCAAAAACATTGTTTATAACATTTTTTTTTTCATAACAATTTGCCTGGCACGTCTATATCAATGTGCGGGAATTCCATTGTTGCAGGTGGTTTAGTATCGTGCTTTGTCAGTCTGTGAGGAAGGCCTATGTTCAGCGGTAGAATAGAGCAGGCTTAAATGATTATGATGACATAATATAAATTTGGTTTTTAAAATACAACGTGCCTATACCAATGTACTCCTTTACACTTTATTCGAATTAAAAAAATAGGCTATTTTGATCCATTTATCGCAGCACTATCTAATTTTCCATCAGCGGTGGAGTCACTCCCCACTATTGGATCTTTGCTGAGTTGTAAGAACAGAATACAAGACCATTTGTATTAACAGTTTCAAGAGTAACTCATAAAACTATAACTGTAAACCAAAAATTGTTTATGCCGTACTTTAGTTTCAGAATTTCAAAATCAAAACAATAACAAGGGTTGAAATAGAATTGTTTGGTGCTGGTTGCTTTTGCGTTAGTTTAAATAATCAAACCTATTGATGACAAGCTAGGTTTACACATATCTATAAATGAACCATAAAATCAACGTAGTTATTTAGATGAATTGATATTATTAGTTAATGTAAATTGATATATAATGGCATTCATAGATAAACATGTAAATGTTAAAACATTTACATGTTTATTTATATATAAATAAAGGAAAAGTTTTATTTTAAATTATGTAAAAAAATACTTACCTGTGTGAGCTTATAACAATGATAAGATTGCGGAGATATTTCATGTGATGTCTTGCAAAATGAATCTAATGCCCATGTGTTTACATCAATCACAATGTTAGATTGAGCTAACACGTAATTAACCAATACAACAATATTGCTTCATAATAATTATGATGGGGAACGAACTCCAATTACGATGATGGTAGAGTGCAAGCGTAAACGTCGTGCTAAGCTCTAATAATGCAGCATTTATAAATATTGTCATGCCCTGGAATCGGTGATAAAATACGAGTTAAGGACTAAGTGGTTAGAATAGAAGTTCTGCAAGTTTATTTAAGAAAAACCAATCAAATTTAGCCTATTATGGATGATGTAACTAGCTAAATCCGCCACAAATCTTTGTAGAAAGCTCTAAAGATTACCGGATATAAATTTGTTCGTTCATTTTAAGTATTTAACCGTCACATATTTTAAAAGAAATTAACAAAATGATTATGATAAGAAATTTTATTGAATTAAGTCGTGTTGGTGAAGAAAAGCGCTTATACATTATAAAATGTGGGGACTTTGTATGCCTACGGCTGTGTCTGTCGGCTGTGTATGGCCCAAGTACGTTGTTACTACGTAAGCACGTCGCGATATCAACATAAATGGCAATCCAACATTTAAAATCTAATTTAAAACTATCAGGATATTATTTCTATATTGACTACCTATCATTGTTTATTTTCATTGAAGTCACTAAATTACGTATCATACAAAAAATATTTCTAAGAAATAATTACAGATTGGAATATTCGATTTATCGTGTTATCATTTCGAAAGGAATTTCAAGAAATTTCAATACCGAAAGGAAAAAGTATGGCAGGTATTAGAAAAAAATCAGGTTAATAACGATTCAACTAGTAGATGGTATTTTGTCTTAATATATATTCATATTTATGTTCGATTCATGTGCTTAAAATATCTAAAATATGATATTAAAATATGTTGGGTTTTCAAGGTCAAGGTTTTTATTGAGAGTATTTATGTTTTATTATCAATTTCCTTAATGCTGCCTTTTCAACTTGGAAACGCTATAAAATTCTGATAGTGTTGATGAGCAGCGGTGAATAAAGCGGCGGCAGCGAGGCCTGATGGTGTTGGACTCGTGTCCCTTATACTACGTAGGGACACCTCACCTGTACTGCAGGTTCTTGGTTCGATTCAGAAGATCAGCGTGCCCGGAGGAGTACTGTTCTATCACATCTTTCACGTCGTAAGGTTTCAATGCTTCTCTAAATCTCTTGCGCGCGACAAAGTACTTGAGCTACACGAAAATAAAATATATGCTGATAGCGTAGATTATTTTTCATATTTGATATATTTGTTTATCATTTTATCATAACAAAGAAGTTTTAGGTATTTTTTTTAATATATCGAGCAAAATTTTATTTATATGATTATTTATATATGAAAATTAGAGGAAATGTCAAATATACCTATAACTCAGTTATAGCAAAAGTGGGTTTATAACGAAATAAATATGTATAAAACGTAACGTGTAAGTATCTCACAAAATAACTATTAATTTTGTTAATATATTTCTGGTACGTACAAACAATTCAAGCGCAAGCAATTTTTGACGGTAAACGTTATATATAAAATGAGTTCTATGTTGCTTCGAAATCCATATTACGTAATCATTGGATCGGTTTATTAGTTAGTATTTTATGTGTAACTATTTAAATACTTGACTTTTTGTATTTTAGACTTTAACAGCATGCCTCTGACTCGATTTAAGGCTATGCTACAGGTTTCTTGTGTTTATTGGTCAACAATGCGGATTAGGCAGTCACTGAGTTTTTGTTCTTGGTGGATGTGTAATATTCGTGTGACATTTAAAATAAACTTTTGATCTTTCATTATATACCATAGTAGTTAAAAACGATTCAAGAAGAGCTGACTACTAAGATAAATGTGAAGTAAAGTGGAGGATAGAGGCATATTCTTATATTTTTATTTCAAAATTTTCTGTGTCGATAATGTATTTTGAAAATTAAATCTAGCATACACACACTACGCTACTACTGAGTATTATGTATAATAATATATTAGGTTTTAAGCCAACTTTACTACAGAGGTAACGTAACAAGACAGTAGATGTGAAGACCAAACGAGAGAAATGTATGAAGGACTTAGAGTAGATAAGTGATAAGTGCAAGGCGTACGGATGTCTCGGGCTAGGTACTACCTAGTCTGGACGTTTTTCACTCGCCCCAACAGGTCCACGTGGCCCGCAGAATACTGCTCTATAACATCCTTTACGTCGTATGGCTTAAGCGCTTCTTTAAACTTACGTCGAGCCACAAAATACTTCATCTGTTAGGATTCCACAAGACAACGTTTCAGAGAAGTATGCAACAATTACAAAGTAATAAAGATAAACGTAACTATAAATATTGGACCAATTTCTTGAAAAGTATATAGAATATATTGTATTGTAGTTTTTTCTAAGCCAGCAGCAAGTGTTTGATTTAGATATCAAATAGTCTGAAGTTTCGCATAACTTTCTGTTGCTTATTTTCTCGTAATTGAGAAATTTTACTTTCTACTTGACAAGCCTACTGTAAATTTAATGTCTACGTGACAATAATAAAAAAAGTCTGAAAAAATATATAGGACAAAAACGTAGAACTAAGAGCGGTTCTAAAGCTCTATTATTTTTCATTTTTGGCTCTATGTAAGTTAATTGAACATACTGTATGAATACACTTATTATTGCTTTGGACTAAATATAAGGCTACTGTAAATAAAGGCACACTAGTTCAATCTAGAATCTACTCACACTATCGTACAACGTTCGCGTAAGTGAACGTATTTTAAATATTATTATTAACTTTAATTTAAAACAAATAATAATCATAATCTGGGGCTATTTTAAGAAACAATATTTATTAATATTTAAAAAAAATCCTGGCTACTTGTAGAAGTAACGTAAGCGATTATAGATGTTTGCAAAACTTATTATTAAACTGAATTTAGATGGAACTTTATGGATTATTTTTGTTATTACCAATGCCTCCATCCTGCTTAATTTTGTTTTGTATATTTAGATTAGGTATAGTTATTATTAAGGTCAATGTTAATGAACTGTAATTTAGCGGGTAAGTACCAAATTTTTAATTAAAGTGATTGATTCTGATGTTTCTAGAAAAAGCTAGAAACATTTATTTCATGTTTTGAAATATAGTATATTATTGCAAATTTGCCTTATATCAAGTCATTGTTTATATTTAAAAAGACATGTGTTAAATCGGTGACCAGTGGTTTAATTTTTTATTAGTCATTTTAAGCATTTGCCATGTAAAGAAAAATAAAATTAAACTTATTTGTTCAAAATCTTTATCCATAATAAATTTTTCCACATAAGGATAGGTCTAAAAGTAATATGAAAATAAAGAAATGTCGAATACGTACCTTCCTTATAAACCGGATAGCTGCTTTGTGTCGAGGAGTTAATGTCACACAACGGGGCTCGTCATCTTCATCTGCACAAACAAGAACATGACGTATAACAACTATAAAAACATTAAAATTAACAATCTGTTTAGGTAAAATAATTATTCCTAGTCATAAATGCAGGAAAATTAAATTCTATAAGAATGTACTGCATAGAAATTTAGAGAGAAAGCCTGATTTGGACCGTAATTTTGATTCCTAAGTATACCAATATAATATGAAGTAAATATACAACCATATCAATTTGTTTGCTTTAAATGCTGGAATATACAGCGTGTCGTTACAACCGCGACAATAAAAGAATACACGTCTAACGCTACTTGCCAATAATCATATAAAAATAAAAAATGCATAATTAAAAAAAAAAACATTAATTAAAATTATTAATAATATATAATTTTTCAAACAAACTAATTAAATAATAAAGAAACAAAATTTGTAACACCCTATACAACGAATGACTGATTCATACATTCAGTGACTTCTTCATTCGTTGCCACAACGTCGCATTACAAGTCTCTCCTTCTAACAGTAGGTATGTTTTATCTCTTTTAAATTCATTCAACCCATTCATATGCTTTGTGACTTTTACAAATGAACTTTACGTTATAGTTTTATACGTAAGGGTGTTCTAAATAAGTTTGTTTTGTAAAATTTAATAACTCTGTAAATATTGATGTTTAAAGAATGTAAATGTTTAATACAATTTTAAAAAGTTATCCTTTATAAGTATGTTCATTTATTGTCGCGATTGTAACAACACGCTATATATCTAAAGAAGGCTTTTTGGGTATTTATTGTTTTAGGGCTATTAATGATGGAAGCATAGCACTCTCATCTATCATAAATCATATGAAGGAGGATAATGCAAAATCCCACTTTCTGCACATCTTTTAGATCTCTTCCGGCAAATTTACAGCAAAAAAATGTCATCCTCTTTGCTAGTAATATTACTTTTCAACTGACGTTTTTTCTTCTTCGGTGTTTAAATGTATAGTACCTGGAGGACCTGTGTCCTGTATCTACGCACATACTTAATTTAATGAAAATCGCTGGAGCCGTTTCCGAGATTTCGATTATATATATGTATATATACAAGAATTGCTCTTTTAATGGATAAGATAATAATCCATATAGAATAAAATTAAATTAAAAGATTTTTTATGAGGTTTACTAAGGAAGGAAACAATCTCGTCAATCGTCTTTGGAAACTACATTCACCGTAAACATATTTCTATGTTATTATTTTATTTAGGCACCTTAATTTTCATTGCATTGCAATCTTTAATTTTGATCAAAATAATCTTTTAAAAATGTCATGTGGTCGTTATCTACTTTCGTTTTAATTTTAACTACTGTTGTTTTCTATGTTGCCTGGGCTACAATTTCATTTAACGGTCGATTCGCATGGTATTCTTTGAATTAAGGGAGCTAATTAAATAAATGATTTATTTATGTGTGTGTTAGAATTCCCAAATCACCGCGACATTATTTTAATTTTTAATTATGTCATGTCAATAATTCTACTACTTGACTATAGATAAAAAACCTTATTGATTATAAGTGCAATTGAAAAAGTTTTAGCATATAATTTTGATCACATATGTGATTACTATAAGAATTTATGGACTTATGCTTATTCTTCAATTCCCTTTTATTATGGAACAGAACTGGTGAAAATTTAATGACTGAATATTTATGCAGCTTATTGAATTTTTGAATTCAATAACGTATAGTTGCGGCGAAACATGTTTCTGAAAAGAGTTGAATTTTCAGTAACTAAAAGAAAAAACGATGGATGCAGGTGGCTCAGGATCGTACTTCATGGCAGTCTGTGGGGGAGGCCTATGTTCAGCAGTGGACTCAAACAGGCTGAAATGATGAAAAAATGAAAAGAAAAAACGACAGACGATACATTAGTAGTAAACAAAGAGTAATTATAGAAATTTTAAATTGTTTATAGTGCTAATCTTTGCACTTAAGATTGAACATTAAAATATGTAGAAAAAGTGCGAAAAGATTGTCGCCGCTGTGGGAATCGAACCCACGTCTTCGGCATTCGCGGCCTGACGCTCTAGCCACTGAGCTAAACGGCTGATTACCACACCGACGAAAATCTTAACGCATTCTTCCACATTGTTTTCTTAGCATTTGAAGCAATGCTTGGCGCCATCTATTGTTATATCCTTTACAGCATACAAACAACTTCGAATATCGTTTTACAACGATAATTCGAACGAGAGATGTCGCCATTGCTTTTTTAGAAATTTTAAATTGTTTATAGTGCTAATCTTTGCACTTAAGATTGAACATTAAAATATGTAGAAAAAGTGCGAAAAGATTGTCTCCGCTGTGGGAATCGAACCCACGTCTTCGGCATTCGCGGCCTGACGCTCTAGCCACTGAGCTAAACGGCTGATTACCACACCGACGAAAATCTTAACGCATTCTTCCACATTGTTTTCTTAGCATTTGAAGCAATGCTTGGCGCCATCTATTGTTATATCCTTTACAGCATACAAACAACTTCGAATATCGTTTTACAACGATAATTCGAACGAGAGATGTCGCCATTGCTTTTTTAGAAATTTTAAATTGTTTATAGTGCTAATCTTTGCACTTAAGATTGAACATTAAAATATGTAGAAAAAGTGCGAAAAGATTGTCGCCGCTGTGGGAATCGAACCCACGTCTTCGGCATTCGCGGCCTGACGCTCTAGCTACTGAGCTAAACGGCTGATTACCACACCGACGAAAATCTTAAAATCTTCGCCATTGCTTTTTTAGAAAGCAATGGCGACATCTCTCGTTCGAATTATCGTTGTAAAACGATATTCGAAGTTGTTTGTATGCTGTAAAGGATATAACAATAGATGGCGCCAAGCATTGCTTCAAATGCTAAGAAAACAATGTGGAAGAATGCGTTAAGATTTTCGTCGGTGTGGTAATCAGCCGTTTAGCTCAGTGGCTAGAGCGTCAGGCCGCGAATGCCGAAGACGTGGGTTCGATTCCCACAGCGGCGACAATCTTTTCGCACTTTTTCTACATATTTTAATGTTCAATCTTAAGTGCAAAGATTAGCACTATAAACAATTTAAAATTTCTAAAAAAGCAATGGCGACATCTCTCGTTCGAATTATCGTTGTAAAACGATATTCGAAGTTGTTTGTATGCTGTAAAGGATATAACAATAGATGGCGCCAAGCATTGCTTCAAATGCTAAGAAAACAATGTGGAAGAATGCGTTAAGATTTTCGTCGGTGTGGTAATCAGCCGTTTAGCTCAGTGGCTAGAGCGTCAGGCCGCGAATGCCGAAGACGTGGGTTCGATTCCCACAGCGGCGACAATCTTTTCGCACTTTTTCTACATATTTTAAAGTAATTATAGAGCTAAAAATCAAAACATAATAAAAACTTATTTGGCAACCCAAAAGAAATGAGACAACAATTCAACTACGAAAATAATTACTGACTCACAATTAAGAATTAGCATACAAATATAAGTGGTGGACCCGAGCGCAGACGTCGAAGCAGGTCAAAAGGATACTCAGTGAACCAGTAGTATTCATAATGAAATTCGGTTCAAAATAACAAACCACTGTAGCACATCTCAATTGCAAGTCTGAATAGATGTAAAAATATTAAAATTAAAATCTGTATTTTTATAGAACTTTCACGGTTATGACAAGGAAGAAATAAATGAACTCAAATTGAACTTTCCCTTTCAGGTGGCAGAGAAACCGAACGTTGCCATAACTTAACCGTCGTAGGGCCACGCAATAGTTCGCTGATGCACGATAGGGCAAGTCCATCCGGAGACCTCACAGAGGACCGGCGTGAAGTGGAAGAGTTATGCTCCTGTATTTCGCCTGGTGACTGAGATAGCCGGGGCTCACTTTATTAAAAGGTGGCAACGCATCTGCAACCTTATGGGTGTTGCAAATGTCCATGGGCGGCGGTTATCACTTAACATCAGGTGAACCAACAGTTCACTTGCCACTTTTTAACATAAAAAAAACGTTGCTCTGCGTTGGCATGGACCACGGATTCCAATCAAGGCTGTTGCTAGGATGGGAGTGCTCTCAAATAAGGAGACACGAAAAGGGGTGTCTTTTCCGGGATAAACGCGTAATCCAGTTAGTTTAAATTACCACTAAATTTAGTCTAATTTGACCCAAAACGCCTGTGGAGCACTAGCAATTTTGGCGTTAGAGTGTACAACCTTAGTCTCCGCCCCGTGAGAAAATTGGCGATCCAATTTAATAATCTTTCTGGAATCCCGTATGAAGTGCTCTGTGCCTGATGCTCAGAAGCTGTCGCAAATATCACCTCTCGTCTCTTCTTCATCTCCTCCAGAGTCTCGTTTAAGAGCTCCGACTTTCGTCCAGTGCTCTTTGGTCAAAAATATTTTTCTCCCACTTCACGGATGGTCCGCGTTAGACTATTGATGGCGTCGTCAATGTCCTACGTGTTTTCCAGCAAGGCGAATCGATTTTGTAGCTCTAGCTGAAAATTTTTACATTCAGCTTCAACCTGGGGCAGTGATGGTCTCAGAGTCGCCTTCACCAGTCGCGCACGTTCGATCTTGATATTTATATTCAGGGTGCCTCTTACAAGACGGTGATCGCTACCGGTATTTACCCTATTGATCGCTGAGATATCCCTGAATATATGGTGCTTATTGGACATAATGAAGTCCATCTCATTTTTAGTCACCTTATCGGGGCTAAGCCAGGTCCACTTCCTCTGAGGCTTTTTCTGGTAGTAGGAGTTCATCAGAAATAGCCCCTGATCCTCGAGGAAGTTTACTAGCATTTGCCCCCTGTGATTTCTGATCCCATAGCCGAATGCTCCGACTCTCGATTCGCCATTCTCGCGTACTCCCACTTTGGCATTAAAGTCACCCATAACAACAGTGTAGAAGGTTTTGGTACGGGACATAGCTTTTGCCACGTCCTCGTTTCGACGTCTTCGTCAGGAAGTGAAGTCGTCGGGGCGTAAACCTGTATCACTTTTAGGGAGTATCTTTCGCTCACTTTTAATACGAGGTACACTACCCTAGCCGACACACTGCCAACCTCTACAATGCTGCTTCTGAGCGACTTGTGTATTAGAAATCCGACGCCACCTTGGGATAGTTGATGTCCTTCTCGGAAGTAGAGCAAGTGACCAGCATCTAGTACCATCATATCCTCGCCCTGTCTTCGGATTTCTGATAGACCCACTATGTACCCCCCTTACACCCCGTCGTTATCGATTGTAGAACTAGTATTATTTTCTAAACTTCTTAAAACAGTCTGATGATATTTAATAGTCGTAATCTATCGTCCCCGTCTATTAAATATCATGAGTTTTCATAATATTTTTTTTTATTTTGTTTTCATAACTTTATAATTTTTAATCAAAGCGTCACCTTTGCAGTATTAACTAAAACGTTTCTAATATAAAATTTTTGTTAACGTGACTATTTTCTAACGTCTAATAAGTAGCACACATTGTCCACACATTGTATTTCCATTTATACGTCTTTTAGCTATCAGATTTCCATTTCAAAGTTAATGAATAATTTATTTAATTAGAGTAATTAAGATAATTTATTCAACTACCTTCCATATCTAGGATTAAGGTACCGTAGTAATAAAAATAATTTTCTGATACTGTATAATATTCGGTTAACGGCGTACATAGCTATTATTTTTTTATTTCAATAGAGAATACGCTAGCTCTATTCAAGTAAAATTTCGTAATATAAATCAATGTAATTAATTTTGCAGGAGTAAACTTAAACTCTCGATACGAATATACTTAATTATGCAATTAAATTCGGATCAGCGGTTACGGTTTACTAGAATCCACTTTTCACAAGAGCTTTAAGTTCTACTACCATTACGGGGACAAGGGAAATGAGAATACGAATTGCCTTAAATTAAATTTAAACAGTGTAATTTTATACATACACTACTTGTGTAATACGATATTTGCTAATCCAATATTTTTGATGGCAAACATAAACAAACAAAGAATTAAAAAAAACCTGTACACATACTTATTTGGCTTTATTATAGTTTACGTAACCGTGAACACAGATACATCGAAAATATGTTTTTTTTTTAAATTCCACGTGTATTTTTGTAAATACAGAGTATATGCTCATTGCTCAACTGTGTCTGAGCGTATGTCGTTATAGGATTGACCGACAGCTGTCTTTAGCAAGGCGAGTCGGAAGGCTGTTCGTCCTTACCGTCGGAGTTTCTTTTGGAGAGCGCCGTTTCCGCCACCGAGTCCTCGCTGTGCGAAGGGTTGACGGGCCGAGTGCGCACTGACCGGCCGTTCCTCGTGCGGCTCGCGCCTGCCAACCCACATACACTAACTTCAACACTGCGCTCATATATTGGCATCCATTGGTCTCTATTGCCCCCCGTTATTGTTTTGCACGTTACGTAATGTTCACCTGGCGCACTTGTTTATAGACTGCGATAATGAACTGCAATATTAAGCTGTACGCAATGTAATGTATGTTTTTTAGCTCATGAGTCGTCAAATCCGCCCGTCCGCCCGTCAAACTTTAATTTTCTCACCTAACTAAGCAGGCAATTAAACATCAATTAATCTTATTTTTTTAATAAAATGAAGAACGTTTTAAAATCATGTTTAATTTTTTTTTAAGTGTAAAAATCTGTTTAAGCGTCACTTATTCATTATCTATAGTTTTTAAACAATTGAAAAGTGAATAATATAAATATTGCTAATAAAATAATGATAAAATGTCAACTTAATTGTTATATTCATTAATAAAGAAATTTGGAAAATTTTTATTAGAGTCTCAAAGACTATCTAAAGGTTTTTTGACATTAATTAACATCAATATATTCATTATTATAAATAGATTATTATTTCTGATTACTTAATCTACTAATCTTTCTAACCACCGACCTTATTGGATTGCCAATGCCATGCTTTGGTGAGTTTAGAAAAAGGATGACGAATAATTTTTTTTTGAACAAGCATTAACAATGTAGTTTTGGCACGATATTGTAAATACAGGAAACCTATGTAATAAGTTGATAAGCTAAATTTGGTTTATGATTTACTGAATAATAATATAATGACGCCTATAGGTATATTTAAAAATTTTGTTAAAGATTTTTAAGATGTTGGAAATCAAACTACAATATATAAAGCTTGAATGAAATTCAGATTGAATAAATAAATTTGACTTGAGTTCAAAATAAAAATAAATACGTATAAAATTAAACTTGAGCGAGTTTGTTCATGCAGAAGTCTCTACGAAACAGATTTTAGAAATAATATTAGAATTGTGTATTAATTGAAGTGATTTCATTTAATTTCATTATTAAAACTGTGGAAGTTCATATGTGCCACAAATACTTCTCCTGAAAGGTACCTAAAATTCGGAGGACCAACGTGTGTGTTGAATCTTAATTGCCCTAAAAGATTCACACAAGCAACATGTTTCATAGATTTTTAGCTATTTTGAAAACATATTTAAAAGCAAAAGAGTTTTTTAAATGTGTTAACAAAATCTTTTGCTCTCATTTAAAAACTTAAGTAAGCTTAAGTGAGGAGAAGACTAACGATTAGAAAAGCACTGGATTTTTACATTTTGATTTCTTTTCACAACTCTTTGTTTCACAATTGTGCCCGGTGAACAATGTCACCACCTGTGGCTTTCATAAGCTCGGTTGAAACAGGGATGGCATAACGTGCCTCGCTCTACTTATTAGGTCTCAAAGACGCAACAAAGAAACGTCTTATTATATTATGCACTCTTACTTAAATTTACATATTTACAGTCACAATCACTGTCAGTAACTGACCTCTTAAATAAGAATATTTATCGCAATACCGAGATCTAAGATGTTGCGGGAATCTTCAAAGTACGGCCCGGCAGTCAACCACATTACGCCGAACATAATTTATGCTATCCATTATTATACTACGTACGTACTTCATAGAATTAAATATATAACATTCAACACAACTTCGTGTAGTATGAAACCGAATAATATACATACATATATAAACATCTTGAAGTAACTAAGGGCCTAAGTAGAATTTCACATGTGGCTGTGAACTAATACAAACTTTTATTAGTCCTGAATTTTCTCTGAAGTTTCTTTTTGTTTAATTTTTAGTCCTTATTCAAACCTTTATATGTTAAACAATAATATAATTGTTTTAATGGTGTAAATACTTTAATTGAGAAATCGTTAATTGTACTGAAGAAACAAAGAATATTCATATCGATTATGATAGACATGAGTACATATGACTTATTTATGAATAAGTCAAATTAAAAATTATTTTCTCCGTCACGCCAATGAAATTAAAAAGCTATAACAAATTATAATTCCTATAGATATGGAATTTATCAATAATATATGCAGTAACTATTAACAAAATGCAATGTTAGGAACGTGTTTCTTGTATTATACTATGGAAACATAAAAATTAAACGATTTAAGATTTATGCGCTGGTTATTGCAGTATTGATCGTAATAAAGCATAATTATTTCGATTACTTAAAAGCATATTATTACAGTTTAGATTATGTAAAAAAAACGAATACTGTCTTTTAAAATAAAAAAAGATAAGTTGATTGAGAAACATTAGTATAGCTCTTTGTGGAAAATCGCAATATGTGGCAATGTACCAGAAAACTGAAAGTCATTAGAGATTATTCTAATAATGGGCTACCAGCTAAATGTATCTCTGGTCGTGTTCAAATTAATTACAATAAGTGTTCGTAATTTTAATGACGTATCTTTTTACTGCAATGGAGAAACACCTAAATAATGAGGTCAATGCAGTGGTTGCCGGTTAATGTCTAAGCAAACTATCGATCGATTTGGTATCTCTTTCTTACTAAGGAAGGGTGCTAACGATCTTGAAGTAGTATTTTCTCGTACCTTTGCTTTTTCATAGGTTTTAAATTGAATAATCCCGCGGACTGCAAAAATGTTCTAATTTTGAGACATTATACAGATTATTGTTGTATTGCTTTCATAACATAACTAAATAAGAGAAAATAATATCAATGATCTTCGTAATTTGTAATAAGTCTTACTGAATTTTTTTATATTATCTTATTCCCAGAGGCTGTACAATTTGTAAATAAATGGCGTATTTCTTGCGGCCTACCAATTATCTTCTTTTGAAGACCAACAGGTGGGGCAGAGATTCAATATTGCGTTATTAATACTCAATATTATTTGTAATGGATATTGAAAATAATGAGCAAGCTAAAATATTTAATATTACCTTTGAAAAGTTCTGAACTATTTATTAAATAACGTATGTTTTATATGGGCATTGTGATAAAAATCACCTAATTTTTAACACAAATGTAATACTTTACTAATATGGTAATATACATATTATTAAAATAAATAGATAAAATTACAGAGTATGGAAGTTTTATTTTAATATATGAACTTAAAATGTATAGAAGACACAAGAAGGATAGAAATAAATGCAACAACATCAAAGCTATTTAAGTTATCCCAGCCCAGAAGACCTTGAGTTTTAAAAAATATTTTTTTTAATGTTACTTACTTCATATCTACTAGATTGAAACTAAAGTTAAGTTATTTAGCTTTTGAAATTGATTTTTTTTTACCTTTAGCTCTCGTTATGTGCTTTCGGTGAAATTTAATTTAAATTCTTTAAAACTCGTATGGCATTTTTATATGTTTTAATTACCTTTATTATTCGGAATGAAATGCTTAAAGGATTAATATAATAAAAATGACTAATCGACCTTTTATTGTTTTCGATTTTATTGTTTTCACCAAAATTTTGTCTGTTACCGATGTCAATGTTTAAACATCATTGATGTCTGCAGAAATACGTAAAATATTATTTCAAAAATTTTATAAAATAAATTTATCTTTCCGGTGTTTCAGTGATAAAACAATACTTTTTTCTATTATGTCAATATTTCTATGCATACAGTAAACACTATTATTGCTTACATGGTAGTCTTTGTGGCTGTATTGATTTGTGGTGAACGTGGCAACGTCGTATTTATTCGCTTTCGAGGTGACAATGTCATTCAAGCAATACTTGTACTTTATTAAATTAAAAAAAGATATAGCAATGTGCTCACATCATTGATACAATAACTAAGAGGCATAGAGATTAACAACAAAAGAACCTTAAATTTTGCAGTTTATTAAAAGCATACCAGTCCATTTATTTTATAGCTATTGTTCCAATTTGGTCATGAGAAACATTAGCGAATTGTATGTTTAATAACAATATTAACTTGATGAAAAGGATTAAAATCATTTTAAAGAACTTACAAATTAGAGTTTGGTTAATGTAAATATGTGATCATATTAGTGCACGCTCGCTGGTGTAGTTGCTAAACCATTGGTTTTGGTATCAGGAGTCGTGGGTTCCCATACAAGACAAGATCCCATATGGGACAAGATTTTTTGTGGCCCGCAGGTTAATGTCGCGGAACGTTGTTAATTCTTAATAAATCGACATTGATGAAGGAACAGTGTCATATGCCATCACAAGTTATAACGATTCATCATAAAAAAAGTTAAACTTACGTGTTTAACTTTTGCACGGACGTAAGAACTTATATGTAATTCTTTAGAGTAAAAAAAAAGAAAAATAATTGAAAAAATTCCAGTACCTGTTAATTAAATAACTTGGATTTATAGATTAATGCCGAAAAGTCGTTATTGGTTGCCATGGTAATATCATAAACTTGGTCGCTTTGCAACCAACTACATCACGTCGTTTTTTGGATGTCTGTGTGCACGCGCATCGTAAAATTTTAACAAAATCTCGTTTCCGAAATTACAAAGGGCAATAGGGCACGATAATTGTTGTATATTTCGAAACCGACTTAAAATAAAATAACAAGTTATAGCTTGGAAGTTTGCGGATATAAAAAGTATTGTTAATAACACTTGATAAAACGGTAATTTTTCAGCAGTTTTAAAGGTCTAAAACTGCAATCAGCTTCTTAATTATTTCTATAGAGATGATTTTTATAAAAATGTATTTATTTGTAATAAAAACTTAAGAAATGCGTAATAATTACAAATGTAAAAACATATTTAATATTTATGATAATTTGTGGTCTAATTTCAACGATTATTTAATCGTATCGGAATAATATAATATGGAATCTTGTTGTATTTTTCTGTGATTATCACTTCAAATTACTATTGTGATGTAAAATGTACTTTTGGTAAAATTTGTTATAAATACGCCAGTAACTTGCCTGTCATACTGACATCTTAACTTATAATAGCTGGCTGGATATTTTCGATGTCACAATCCATCGGAAACATTAAGGAACACTTC